TTTAGGTCAGAATGGCTGGTCTAGAGATAGTGTGTAGGTTATAATGGCTGGTCTAGAGACAGTGTTTAGGTCAGAATGGCTGGTCTAGAGATAGTGTTTAGGTTATAATGGCTGGTCTAGAGATAGTGTTTAGGTCATAATGGCTGGTCTAGAGATAGTGTGTAGGTTATAATGGCTGGTCTAGAGATAGTGTTAAGGTTATAATGGCTGGTCTAGAGACAGTGTTTAGGTTATAATGGCTGGTCTAGAGACAGTGTTTAGGTCAGAATGGCTGGTCTAGAGATAGTGTGTAGGTTATAATGGCTGGTCTAGAGATAGTGTTTAGGTTATAATGGCTGGTCTAGAGACAGTGTTTAGGTCAGAATGGCTGGTCTATAGATAGTGTGTAGGTTATAATGGCTGGTCTAGAGACAGTGTTTAGGTCAGAATGGCTGGTCTAGAGATAGTGTGTAGGTTATAATGGCTGGTCTAGAGACAGTGTTTAGGTCAGAATGGCTGGTCTAGATATAGTGTGTAGGTTATAATGGCTGGTCTAGAGATAGTGTTTAGGTTATAATGGCTGGTCTAGAGACAGAGTTTAGGTTGTAATGGCTGGTCTATAGAAAGTGTGTAGGTTATAATGGCTGGTCTAGAGACAGTGTTTAGGTCAGAATGGCTGGTCTAGAGATAGTGTGTAGGTTATAATGGCTGGTCTATAGACAGTGTTTAGGTTATAATGGCTGGTCTATAGACAGTGTTTAGGTTATAATGGCTGGTCTATAGACAGTGTTTAGGTTATAATGGCTGGTCTATAGACAGTGTTTAGGTTATAATGGCTGGTGTTTAAGTCATAATTAGAGTGAATATTTATCTTACAAAATTAATTTTGGAGCACACTGGATAGATTCGGAATATAGACCTAAACTCTGTCTCTAGATCAGCAAGTTATTCAAGACCTACTGCATGACTGTCATTTTTGGTTGACTGGTTTATTTGCATATCAACCCTTCCCATTTCGCCCCTTTCCCACTTCGCCCGACAGTTGGAAATCGAAAAATAGCATGGCCTTGCCCGTCTTCATTAGCCGGCATGGTGCAGAAAACTAGGACGTAAAACTGTAAGTTGCAGAATACAAAAAAAGAACTGCAACTAAATTAATCTTTCAAAGGCACATTGGAAGCATAGGTTATAGATAAATGAGACAATTTATGGATAGATACTTCTAGAATTGTCTTATTTATCTGCAACTAAATTGTTATCATAACAATTTGTTAAAGGACGTAAACAACCGTTAAACATTTACTTATCATTTCTACTAACTGATGTTATTGAATACAAAACTTAATTTTGTTTTATACGGAAATTTTGTATATAGGGCCTATATATTATGCGAAATTCCAGCCTACTCTTTATCAAATTCTAACTGCTCCAGTAGGCCTACTACAATGCACACAGGATCGGAATTCAAATCGGAACAAGCATTATTTATTATGTAGGCCTAGGCCTAGAAAGGGTTGAAATAGGATGGAGTGGAATGGAAAGGGACTAAATGGGTGAGGGCAAACTGGGAAAGGCGCGAATTGGGAAGGGGCGATATGGGAAAGAGGCGAAATGGGGAGGGGCAAAATGGTTGGGCAAACTGGGAAAGGGGCGATATAGGAAAGTGGCGAAGTGGGAAGTCACCGCCTCAGTCGAAATAATGTGGCCTATATGTAGCCTAATATATAGTAATTACATAAATATAGCCTATCATGTCATGCAAAATATAGTCTCTCTCTGTAATCAGCCCATTTCAATGTTTTAGGTGGGCTAATATACAGTTGTATGATTAATTATGACATCTTTCCAAGTTCTGGGTATGATAACTAACGACGGGAAACCATGTCAGTATTCAGATTGCTTACAAGTTACATACTTAGGCTTGATATTTATTTAATGCCATGATTTCTCAACTACAGCACTATGAAAATAAGAATGCTGTTCAAATTATAAAATATATTCTCTTAAAGTTTAACATAAAATTGCCCTTTAATATCATTTATGATACTTACTATTTATACAATTAGTGTTGAATGTACAAAACAGACAAAACTTGTGATAATTCATAATTTTTCAACTAGACGTTTGCTCAAAGCGAGGTCGGGTTACTTCCCTTTAGTCCACAAATCGAGTCTGTGTTTATGGATGCTCTGGGTCGTTCTGTGTTATTTTAGTGTTTTCTGCGTGTTCTATGATAACAATAAATGCTCTAGAACTTGAAACCTTTAAAATTTAGGGTGGAAATATTGAAATCAAACCAAATTCAATTCAGTTGAATGTCGTGGACTACGCATGCGCATTGATCACAAATTACACATTGCAGTGATGAAACAAGAAAATGGCGGACCTAAAATTGACATTAAGCCCCATTTTAAAAGGCATGAAACTGGAAGTAACAGTCGAGGAGGCAGTGAATGACATTCTTCTCGTCTGCTTGAATTATGGATCAACAATCTACCGCGGAGTTTTGATGGATATTAAACTGAGGTAAAGAAATCTAACACGATCTAAAGTTGTAAAAATTTCGTAAAATTGATGCAATTTTTTGTAAACAAATGGTGTTATGTAAAGTCAATTGTGCATTTTGAAGTCTAAATTTGATGAATTTCACTTGAGATTGATTTACACTATTTCAGGAACCTACCTAGTGGAATTTCGTTCCCTAAAATGCCACAGAAACCTGATCCTGGTGGAAATATCAGTGGCAACACACCAAAACCTGTCAATTGTGAAACTGAAAATACAAATATTGGAATTTCTGCAACCAGTTTTAGACACAGTTATAATAAAGATCCAGTCGAATTTGCATCTAAGCCACTTCAACTTCCATCTTCTTCAATAATAGGACGAAAAACTGTCAGAAACATCACGTTACGACCACGCAAAACTTTGTGCACTAATTGTAAATCAAACATTCATGACACCAAAATGAGACATGGGCATGGACACTCGAAATCATTGAGTCAAAATCATAACGCTAGAAGTCCATTGTCACGGTCCACAAGACTTCATCCGAATGCTTTATCGCCACCAATGCACCTGAGGAAGCGTCAACTGTCTACAGACGATGAAAGCCCGTCAAAATCTCCAATTCAAAAGAAAGTTGGTCGTCTGAATCTGTCACCAAGATTAATTACTAACAAGTCATCCTTTACCAGCCGAGCCACCAAGCCATTTTCACGATGTTTGGCTGGAAGGAAAAAATCAACGCCAGCCATAAAAATTTCAATTGGTGGTGATTCAGTTTTGAATATTCCTCCAAGAATTTCTGGAAATGAGACCTCGTATAAAAGTGATCTTTCTGATTCTAATCGCAGCATTATTAAAAAAGAATTAACTGTACGTCTTACAGATATTGCCCAGCAAGCAGATCAATATGCAGCCCTTAAAAAAGTCAAGAAATGTGTTAAAAAGTCAAAGGACAAAGAGGAAGAAAGTGCTGTGCCTACGAATATCACTCAAAAAGGTGAAACAGATGCTAAACCTTTTGACCCAACTAAATTAACGTGGCATGTTTCAAGCCACCAGAAAAAACACAAACGAAAACACAAACATCGTCATTGTAGTGGTGAAAGTGATAAAAACAATAGCAACTTGTGTTCTAATGACATACAGGAAACCAGCTCATGGTTACCCGAAATTCAAAGTCCGATTCTCGACAACTTTCAAATGGACAGTCCAGCGTATAAAGAATATAAAGCTCAAAGCCCTGTGTCATCAGAATTGAAGACGGAAAGCCCTAGGTCTCAAGATTTCTTGGAGGAAATTTCTGAAAATTATGATGAAGACAATGAAAATAATGTTCCGTTGTCGGACGAGGCCGTAGCTAGTAGACCTCGACTAGTTTATACATGGAAACAAAACCATGGACTTTCACGCGTGGATACAAAATTTACAGGTATGAAAGACTATCCATTACGAAGCAAAGAAAAAGAAACTGATAAATATCTCTCACCACGGAACGATGGAAATGTGACGTCGTATTCTGATGGGGAGGAGTCAAGCGTGACAGAGAGAAGTGACTCGGAAGAGATGAGTGAATCTCAGACAAGTGACAGTGATGGGTTTCTCTCCCCTGAATTAAGTGCTAGCCCGGATAAAAACAGTGATAGGTTTAAACCACTCATGATGAAGATACAAACTAATAATGTGAATAAATGTGTAACTACTGACGGTCGAAAACTTCACGTGAACGATATTATTTGGGGGAAAATTCAAGGATTTCCCTGGTGGCCAGGACGTGTCATGTCCATCACTATTACAAAACGAGACAATGGCTTGATAATTGCTCAACTTGCTCATGTAGCCTGGTTTGGTTCCTCCACCAGATCTCACATGCCCTGTGATGAAATTTTCCCATTTTTAGAAGATTTTAAAGTTCGATATAATAAGAAGAAAAGGGGTCCATATAAACTGGCCATAAGACAAGCTACAATGGCGGCACGTAGAACGTCAGGGGATGGTTCATTAGATACTGGTATTCAACACGTTGACAGTTAGATAAACTGCTAATGTTTTTATTTATTATTTTGTTTTGGATTCAGGTGTCTTTTTGTTTTTATCTGTGGTCTTTAAGGTACTGGTAATGGTCTACATGATCTAGATATATCTAGAAAACAAATTTGCTTTCTAAATCAGTTCATAGAACACAGTTTCAGAATGGTATCAAGGTTGTTTCAGAACGGTATCAAGGTTGTTTCAGAACGGTATCAAGGTTGTTTCAGAACGGTATCAAGGTTGTGTTAAACAAGATGTGATGATATGAGCTAAGTAGTTGATACAACAGAGGCCAATTGGGTCCCCATGTTCAAACCCGGTTTTCACTTCTTGTATTTTCTACCGTACATATCATCATAGCAACCATTTTGAATCTCTACCTTGACCTAATAAGTCAAATTTTTAAAAAGGCTACAATGTTTCAACTTAGCCTTCAAATCGCATTTAAAGGTTTTAGAAATGACTTTACATATGATTTGAAGGCTAAGTTGAAACATTGTAACCTTTTTAAAAATTCGACTTATTATTCAAATCAAAATTCAAAATGGTTGTGAACTACGTTCATTTGTGATAATCCTATGTAAGACCCATGTATAGTTTCCGCCTTTCATTTTAAAAAAAATTACAGGTAACTGTATCAACTGATGAAGGAATTATTGTGATAAATTCTGAATTTTCTTTAGACTGATATTGAGAATGATAGACTTTAATGATAGTGGTTTACTATATATAGATTAAAATTATTACTTGTCTTTCACAAATAGTTCCAATACTTGTATTATTCATTGGACTCTCTGCCTGATATCAGGGCCCCATTCCATAAAAATTCTTAGATAAAAGTTTAAGAGTTTTGCATTGAGAAATACCAAAATTACGACAAACTTGATGGTAAGATATTTTGGTAACGGAGCTTAGGGTAGTAAATTTGGTTATAAACTTGGTGGTTTGTTTCTAAAACTTGTGCAGTCATTATAAAGTAAAATTTTAAAATTATCTTAGTGATTGTAAAGATGTTTTCTAAACTTTGTATGTGTATCAGAGACACAGATAGCAGTAATTTACACCTGCATTATTTACATTATGTCTGCTGCAATAGGCCCAATTCCCCTAAAACTAGGCGTTTTTATGCCGTAATTATCACAAACTTGCTACATGATTTTCAAGGGGCTTTGCAATATTTACATAAAATGCTGCTTACCTGGGGTCTTATTTTTGAAATCCTAATTTAGATTTGAGGAACAACTGTAATAACTGTAATATGACGATTAAACTAAATCAAAAACCAATTTTAATAATTCATCAGACGTATGGAATGCTATTTGAAATAATGTCAGTAAAGGTTGTGTGGCCCCAAGGACTTTTTTCTCAAAAAATCTTTGAGAAACTTGATTTAAACACTGGGAACAGAAACTGACATTTAGCTCAATTGACATTCAATGCATGTACATATTCTGGCTAGAACACACACAGCACTTTTCTTTTCCTAGTTTTATGGATCTCATAATACTAACTAGGTGAATGAGAATAGCATGGGCCCTATTGTCTGAACAAAGCAAAAATTATTTGAAAATTTTCCATTATTTGTAAGAGAATTGGAATATCAGCCTTAAATTAGTACTGTTAGTCTTAGAATGTCTTTGTGTTGATAAATATTAAAAATCATCTTCAAAATTTTTTTACATGGGAAAATTTTCAGTCAAAACTTTTTGGAGAGAAATGTGTTTCTTTAAATGTAAACTTACAAAAAAATATATTTTCACAAAGACATTCGAAGACTAACATTCTATACTGATATTCCAATTCTCTTAAAGAATATTGCTCAGAAAATAGGTTTGAATCAAAGACTACCAGGGTTTGAGTAGGAGTTAACTGACATGTCCAAGGACAAGAGAGATTTTAAATTTATATTGCCTCTGTCATTTACTAATCATAGTTTATCTAATTATTTTGTTTTTATTTGTGATATCAACTCAGATATAGTGCTGAAGTTGTTTATGTGAGGGTAATTAGAACTTGACTAAATCTTTCTAAATATTATTAAGGTTATATTATTGAATATTGTGGGATTTAAAATACTGGAGAAATTCTGTTCTATCTAAGATATGAAGATAGTAACATTGTGTAAAATGAGTTATTTTAAAATATCGGAAACTATAATATAATCCAGAATTTATTTAAATTGGTAAATGACATCCTAACTTTGAGGGATTTTCCTCTCCTGTTTTGTTTCCTGACCCAATATCATGTAGTTTCCCGTTGTACGTTGACAGTTTGTTTCTGTACGGACGAATGAAGGCCCTAACAGAGTTTGAGTTATTGTTACGTACACGTGTAATCTTAACTTAGTTCAGATTTTGTGAATAATTCTCCAGGAGGGTTCTGTGTTCTGTATGTTTTAGTTACGGTCATAATTAATAATATATCAAGATTATTGAAAGTTTGTATCATACTGTTATATCAAAATTATTATTATTAAAATATCTTAAAATTCTTTACTGTGACATTTCCATTATTCCCTTAATTAATAAACAAGTCAAGTTGACAAACTTAAATACCAAATAAACATTATTAGCTATGTGGACTCTCTGAAAGGGATGCTGAGTTGACAAACTTAAATACCAAATAAACATTATTAGCAATGTGGACTCTCTGATAGGGATGTCAAGTTGATAAACCTAAATACCAAATAAACATTATTAGCTATGTGGACTCTCTGAAAGGGATGCTGAGTTGACAAACATAAATACCAAATAAACATTATTAGCTATGTGGACTCTCTGAAAGGGATGCTGAGTTGACAAACATAAATACCAAATAAACATTATTAGCAATGTGGACTCTCTGATAGGGATGTCAAATTGATAAACCTAAATACCAAATAAACATTATTAGCTATGTGGACTCTCTGAAAGGGATGCTGAGTCGACAAACATAGATACCAAATAAACATTATTAGCTATGTGGACTCTCTGAAAGGGATGATGAGTCGACAAACATAGATACCAATTAAACATTTTAGCTATGTGGACTCTCTGAAAGGGATGATGAGTCGACAAACATAGATACCAAATAAACATTATTAGCTATGTGGACTCTCTGAAAGGGATGATGAGTTGACAAACTTAAATACCAAATAAACATTATTAGCTATGTGGACTCTCTGAAAGGGATGCTGAGTTGACAAACTTAAATACCAAATAAACATTATTAGCAATGTGGACTCTCTGATAGGGATGATGAGTCGACAAACATAGATACCAAATAAACATTATTAGCTATGTGGACTCTCTGATAGGGATGCTGAGTTGACAAACATAGATACCAATTAAACATTATTAGCTATGTGGACTCTCTGAAAGAGATGTAGAGTTGACACACCTATCTACCAAATAAACATTATTAGCTATGTGGACTCTCTGAAAGGGATGCTGAGTTGACAAACCTAAATACCAATTAAACATTATTAGCTATGTGGACTCTCTGAAAGAGATGTAGAGTTGACACACCTATCTACCAAATAAACATTATTAGCTATGTGGACTCTCTGAAAGGGATGCTGAGTTGACAAACCTAAATACCAATTAAACATTATTAGCTATGTGGACTCTCTGAAAGAGATGTAGAGTTGACACACCTATCTACCAAATAAACATTATTAGCTATGTGGACTCTCTGAGAGGGATGCTGAGTTGACAAACCTAAATACCAATTAAACATTATTAGCAATGTGGAATCCCTAAAAAGAGTTGACAATGGACTCTGAAAGGGATGCTGAGTTGACAAACCTAAATACCAAATAAACATTATTAGCAATGTGGACTCTCTGAAAGGGGCGTAGAGAATTTCAAGTAGACACATAAAGAAAGACTGGTATAAAGTAAAATATTTATTATAAAGAGTGAGAAAAATATGATATAAAAATATGAAAAGAATCACAGATGTTGCCATTAAATGCTATAATGCACACTTTATATAAAGTCAGATAAGATATGCTAGTTGTATCTTTATAATGTCAAGTTATTACAGACTTATACCTTGACTACAATAGCCACTTGTATCATCATCTTCACAGTGTCAGGTTATTTCTTTATACCTTGACTGCATTAACCACCTTTAGAAGTTTGTAAATGCAGCAATTTACTTGACTTGTACTTAAATACTTGAATACAGTCAATTAAAGTCCTCGACAGAAAGTCTGTAAACAAAAGCCATTATGTTTACAATTTGTCGTGGGTTATGATTGGCTGTATTTGTTAACATATGATCCAATCAAATCACTGCATTCTGTAATACAGGAAAAGTATAAGACACAGTTCGTAATAGCTTGAGATACGGTAGTAGTTAGAATAGAATAATAAGAATGAAAATCTTGTCTGGAAACATTACTCACACACCCCTGTAACGTTACATTCTTATATAACATATACACTAGTTCCAAAATGACAATTATAAGAATATAGTTCACTGCTTCCCCCCTGATTGTTCATGAAAATTATATACATTATTTACATTCTAACTCTTATCAATTACATAATAATGTTTCATAATAACAAAATAATGTTTCATAATAACAAAATAATGTTTCATAATTACATAATAATGTTTCATAATAACAAAATAATGTTTCATAATTACATAATAATGTTTCATAATAACAAAATAATGTTTCATAATTACAAAATAATGTTTCATAATAACAAAATAAATTTTTCATAATTACAAAATAATAATGTTTCATTATTACAAAATAATGTTTCATAATTACAAAATAATGTTTCATCATTACATAATGTTTCATAATTACATTATAATGTTTCATAATTACAAAATAATGTTTCATAATTACAAAATAATGTTTCATAATTACAAAATAATGTTTCATCATTACATAATGTTTCATAATTACATTATAATGTTTCATAATTACATTATAATGTTTCATAATTACAAAATAATGTTTCATAATTACAAAATAATGTTTCATCATTACATAATGTTTCATAATTACATAATAATGTTTCATAATTACAAAATAATGTTTCATCATTACATAATGTTTCATAATTACACAATAATGTTTCATCATTACATAATGTTTCATAATTACACAATAATGTTTCATAATTACAAAATAATGTTTCATCATTACATAATGTTTCATAATTACATAATAATGTTTCATAATTACACAATAATGTTTCATCATTACATAATATTTCATAATTACAAAACAATGTTTCATAATTACATAATAATGTTTCATAATTACATAATAGCGTTTCATAATTACCTAATAATGTATCATAATTACATAATAATGTTTCATAATTACAAAATGTTTCATAATTACATAATAATGTTTCATAATTACATAATAATGTTTCATAATTACATAATAATGTTTCATAATTACATTATGTATCATAATTGCATAATAATGTTTCAAAATTACAAAATAATGTTTCATAATTACATAATAATGTTTCATAATTACATAATAATGTTTCATAATTACATTATGTATCATAATTGCATAATAATGTTCCATAATTACATAATAATGTTTCATAATTACAAAATAGCGTTTCATACTTAAATAATAATGTTTCATAATTACAAAATGTTTCATAATTACATAATAATGTTCCATAATTACATAATAGCGTTTCATAATAATGTTTCATAATTACAAAATGTTTCGTAATTCCAAAATAATGTTCCATAATTACAAAATAATGTTTCATAATTACATAATAGCATTTCATAATTACATAATAATGTACCATAATTACGTAATAATGCTGCGCCTGAAATGACCGGTTACCCTGTCACCAATGGCGACCACTGTAATGTTAGGTCCAGAAGTTTGTCCGAAGACTAGTAATTAACGTTACATACAGTTATATAAAATGAAGACATGAGAATTATACAGAACTGTAGATTCCTGATTTCACCGAGACAATCAAACCCATTTTTATAAAACTGAATTTTGGAATGACTTGATGACCTATTCTACTAACAATCATGATCTAATGGAAGGACTGGATATTCTGGATTGTGCTGAGTGGGAGGAGTCTGTTGAGTCGTAGTTTAAAATACTCTCTGCCTTTGCTACATCTTCCGCCCTCATTCTCCGATAGTTTGGTTTAAAAAATAATATTAAAACTAAAGTAGCCAGGGCAGCAATACCATTGAAAAATAAATTTGGCACTGAAATAAACATACATGGATCACTTATGATTGATATACTTCCTCATGTGAAAATTTCATTAACTGCTACCAATATTTCGTCAATATGTTGTTTTGCATTTCGGGTTTCATTTTGCAGTTCGGATCGTTAGTACTTTGTTTATTTATGGTTAGAAGGCATAGTTGAGTGAAGATTTTGTTACACGTGTTTATGTTTTGAACTTTATAAGCACAAACACTGTATTTAAAATAGTGTATGTTATTTATATTTAGTGTCTACTTGATCAAACTGAATTTGTTTTAAAAGGGTTAATTAAAAAATGGAGAGCACTAATTGTTAATTAAGCAGTTTGACCTAGTTTTGGTGTTTAGCTTTATAATGGCTTGATATTATTAGTTGAAACCTTTAATATTCGTAGAAGACATATTTCTCTACTATTGAGCGTTTATTTTACTTAAGTCTGTACAGTATTTTTCCAAAAAGCATAATGAACTTTAAAAGTTTACCTAAACTTTTTAGATAGATTTGGCATTAAAATCTCAAAGGTTGGAACACCCCTTGAAACTTGACACAAAACCTATTGATTGATAAAGCTTTGACAGATGAGAATTAACCAAAATAGAGTTCACAATATCAAACAAGAACCCATATATTATTAAATGTTAGAGAAAAAATTAGTCACAATTCCTATTTTGTTAAGAAGTTGACCCACCTGTCCAGTCTTTATTAAGATTATCTGGTGAGGTACTGTTAGTAAGACAGGCCGACGGTAACCCAACTTCATTCACTGGTAATGGCTGAGCTAAATACTGGGCCACTAGTATCAATACCACTCCTTGTATCTGACTGTAATAATAATAATAATAATAATAATAATAATAATCCATAATCCATAATTAAAAAACAACAACAACAACAACAAACAACAAACAACAAACAAACAACAACAACAACAACCAACAACAACAACAAACAACAACAAACAAACAACAACAACAACAAACAACAACAAACAAAAACTACAAACAACAATTAATAATTAATGATAATAATAATCAGCCCACGGTTATGAATCGCAAGTCGTGTATAGTTTTTGTTAAACTCATTCCAATAATTTCAATCAGATTGACAATGACTCACCCTGATATGAACAGAAACCCAGAACTCGTCGCCTCGGCAACTGGATACGTGATTTCGACTGCCATTTCCATACAGACTGGATACAGAGCGAAGCCGAAAAAACCAAAGCCAGAGATTGCTATAGCTGTTAATATAGAGTAGCCTCTTAATCGACTTATCTACAATAAAATCGAATGTTAATATAATATATCAAAGACGGTGGGTGTGTGGTAGCTTTTACTAGAATTTCACTAATTCTTCTCACCTTCAAGTGGATTTTTGTTAAAAATTTGACCTATATTCAAAATCTTTATTACAACAAAATTTTAAATATTTTCAGCAAAATTTCCGTTCACACATGAAATCAAGCCAACTTGTGTTTTCTATACCTTGCCATTTATTCTATGAAAGATATTGAACATACAACAAGGTTTTTAACCAACTGTTAGCCAAATTTTATAAATTTTTGGTAGCCCATGTGAGTTAGTCCTGTGTTACATTGTCTGACACTGTATAGGGGTGATCAATTTTGATTCTAAATCCTGTTCAAGGAATTTTTTTTATTGGCTATAGAATTCAAAGTAACAGAGCTCTTGTCGTCAGACCACAGAATTGTATTAAATACTTACTAAAGTAAAAAATATCCCAAATAGAGTGGCAAATCCAAAACTCATTTTTATCACTTCTTCAAACAACTTGGTTTTATCCACAAAAACACCAGCTATGGCTCCTCCTAGAGCTCCTATTGCTATCATCAACGCTCCACACAGACCAGAAAAATTCTAAAATAAAATACAAGAAAGTAATGAGAATTGAGTTGAACAGAGCAAACATGCTTTATCAAAGTAGGAAACCTTGTGGAAGTGGAGTTCAGATATCAGCATATACAAATATTAATGTACACAGAAAAATAGCTTCTTTAAACAAATACTTGTGACTCACGGCGAGAAGAATTTGAAATAAAAATCTGTACAAGCAAGACATTTCCGTTTATCAAAATCTCGTCCAAAGCATGGCAAACCATATTCTATTCATAAATATATATATAGAGATACATTATGAAAAGGATTGAGGAATATGGTACGCCTATATTACCCCTCTCCACAATATGGCAAACCAAAACTTGAACTATATAAAGCCAAAAGCCCTAGAAGACATCAAGATTTATTCAGCTCCTTACCAAGGAAACTGGAACTCTGTTTACTTACGTTATTATAATCCCGAGGACATAATATTTGTTCTATAAATGTTGTATTAGCTGAAAATATTGCCAGTCCCGCACCAAATACTGTCCATAACAACCAATAGGATTTGATCTTCACTAGCTAGATAAAAAATATAAATATCAATTACTGTTTTACATTATTCAAAGGGACAGATGCGCCATTCTTTTTGACCAATCATACTTTAGTCTCAGAAACGGGAATTTTTGAGCTAAGCCAATCAGTGTTCACAGGTCACCGTCGGAATTGAACCTTCAAATACATGTGTGTTGAGAATCATCCGCATTTAAATGTTAAGATAGTGAACCACGAAAAAGTTAGAGAAGATTCGAAGATTTCAAATTGTGAAAATGTAAAATAAAACCAAATGGATACCTTTTTTAGACCAGAAAAAAATGGTTCTGATTGCTCTGCAGCACTGGCACTGGGTGGGGTGGGGGGTCCAGAACTCCACACACCAAATGTAGCTAACACCATTCCTACCCCACTTATACCAGTACACACCCATAACTACAATAAAAATAAAATGAAGTTTGATAAACAGCAAGGAAATCATTTGCTTGGTTACATTATTATAATCTTATTCTTGAATCTTAACCACTAATCAAATATTAAAATCAGAGGGAACTGACAAATTAAATAAAATAAATAATATTACTAGGAAAATCAAATATCCAGTCAATCCATCTGTAAATGGGTATGGATAATCTGGGAAAGATCAATGCCAAGAGGTCTGACCAAGGACAGGCTGATAGAATGGATCCTTGTGAACCGAAGTTGTTATGTACAAACTAAGCATGTTTCTGTCCTATGAAGATTTGAATAAAATATTACCATGGTAGGCATGTCTTCTTCCGTTTTAACAATTCTTGGTGACATCAAATTGGCCAGCAAAATACCAAGAGGATTGGCTGAAATATAAAATAAATAAGTTTTTAGGTATACTAGGCAGACAAACTAAAATAACAAAATATACATAACAAGCTATAGATGTGAATCTTTTCATTATTCACTATACAGACTCTATGCAACCAACTGACTCGAGTCGAGTGGCAAAATAATATTAGCTCTGTGGACTTTAATTCAGACATTTTATGATGATAAACTGAAAACAAAGTTGATTAACCTAATCATAGAATGAATCCTGAGAATAATGAATTGTTTTTTTACCCATAGAAGCTAGAGTATTAGCAGTGGCTCTCTGAGATCCTGGAAACCAAACAGCAGCTAATTTAGTCGGACAGAACATGACGAAGGGTTGAGCACACGCAGCCAGAATCTGACCGGTCAACAACACCGGAAACTTGGCGTCAGGCGTGATGAAATCAAACGTTGTTAAATTTCTTAATAACGAACCAATGACATTCAACCAGGCTGCTAATATAATCTACAAAAAACAACAACTTTTCAACTATTTACATTGTCATCATCAGTTTATATAGTATACTACTCCTGAGTTTTATTGTACACAATGTTTCAACAATTTACATTGTCATCATCAGTTTATATGTTATACTACTCTTGAGTTTTATTGTACACAGTGTTTCAACAATTTACATTGTCATCATCAGTTTATATGTTATACTACTCCTGAGTTTTATTGTACACAATGTTTCAACAATTTACATTGTCATCATCAGTTTATATGTTATACTACTCCTGAGTTTTATTGTACACAATGTTTCAACAATTTACATTGTCATCATCAGTTTATATGTTATACTACTCCTGAGTTTTATTGTACACAATGTTTCAACAATTTACATTGTCATCATCACATTAGGTGAAAATGGTGACAGTGTAAATTGTTGAAACGTTGTGTACTAAAAAATGTTGCTCCGTTATTTAAAGTAAATGAATCAGGAACACAGGAAGATTTAATTGAATATAAACTATAGTTAAGATTTTTGTAGGAGTATCGATCTAGATTCAAACCTTTGATTAACAATTTATCATACCAAATTTCTATGACTTAAATTCTCATTTACCTTAACAGCAAATATCAGTAATAAACAGTTCAAGTTCCTCAGGGTTATATAGAGACTACCCAACACCGATTGTATAGTATAGTAATGGTAGATAAAGTGATCAAGTGATAAAAGTGAGATGAATAGTGCTAGTTAGTATATGTAATGTATATTATGTATGTTTTTTCATATTAAAATAAAGTATGCATTGAAATATTTATATAAAATATTATTTCGGTGTCATTTCGACCTTTTCGAGGGCCATTTTGACAATTTTAAGGAGGGCGGCATTTTGACCAATTTTGGGGCCATTTTATTTAGGTTCCACATTGACTATAACCCATCGTCATATTTTTCTTTGGCAAAAGATTATCAAAGATTATACAATTTGATTTGCTCCGCAGATTTGTGATAAATTTTAACTTTGACTAATCAAAGGAAATACTGAAACCCTTTGAAACTGCAATGTAACTGGTATAGCACCTGTTGATCAGACTATATAAGCTTAATCTGTTGAAAATATAGGAATGGATTAGGGAAAATTAAACTTACACTAATCCTGAGTCCAAGCGTGTCGAGTAACCAGGATGCTGTGAAACCAAACGGTATAGAAGCTACTAGATATACTAGAGATAATAAATTAACATCTAGTTCAGTTATATTGTAATATTTTATAGTTATATTGGTGATAGGCGAAAAACATATCCATAGCTGAAAAATACAAACAGAAAAAACTTTATCACAGTAATGTTCAGGGTCATATTTTATTTTAAATTGCAGCATGTGAAAATAGTCTCTTTCTGGTTTCTAGTTCGAGGTCAATTTGATTTTAGTACAGATTAAGTATTGCCATATCAATAGGTTGCTGTGGACAAAATGATCTATAAGAATAAACCTTGCAATACAAATCAGCTGTGATTACGACAAGGGAAGTAACTCACTATAAAAACCAAGTAACAGAAACTTGAGTTTAGTTTCATTATAAGCTTACCAAAGCATTCGCCGCGTTGACAATACAAACTACAAACACAATAAACCATCTTCTAGTATAGATTTTATATTCTGTCTCTACGAAAGGTCTGTAGTGAATATCGGTGATGCTGGGCGCCGATAGCCGTCCGGTAAAGTTATTGTCATCCGCCATTTTGAGACAGTCACGTGAGTTTATTTATAAATATCACGTGATGGAAATTCCGGGAATTTCCCTTCCTACTTTCATTTCCAAGATTGAACGACAGAGTTGTCAAAATTTCAAGAACAGTCTCTACCATAATCAGAAGCAGGTAGGTATATGTTAGCTGTTTGATTATTTTGTTATGATCTTTATCTACAGAAATTAATCGTGAAAAGTCAAAGAATCTTTCTATTAGAAATTAAAAATAGTTTTGTGGTAGATCTAATTTGGGGTATTTGTAATTCTCCGACTAATAAACAAGTTATTGTAATATCAACGCAAAGACATTCTAAGACAGTCAGTACTGTTTTGAGGCTGAAATTCAAATTCTATTAAAAGATATCTAAAAAATTCAAAAAACTTTTTAATTTGCTCAGACATTAACTCTCAAAGAACCTGAATGATGCCAAAACAGAACCTGAAACATGATATTACTCAAGTTTCACACTTTGTGGTCTTCATACAACTGATCTTATTCAGCCTGTGTTCCTACTGAAGTTTGACAAGTAGTGATTTTCAGACAACTGATCTATTTCAGCCTGTGTTCCTACTGAAGTTTGACAAAAAGACAGTGTAGGCTTTGTTATTTAATTAGACATCAAATAGAAATTGATGAAGAATGGCAACACCTGCTGAAGTCCCCAGCAAACTTGGGGGAGAAGAGAAAATTAAAATGCAGAAACACCTGATAGATGCCATGATACCAGAATTTGAAGAATATCTGGATTCATCTAAAATTCTTATAAGATTGAACGGTATTGCTAGTAAGTTTAATTTCATTTTCAATTTCAATTTCAATTTTCAAATTCAATTTTCAATTTCAATTTCAATTTTCAATTTTCAATTTTCAATTTTCATTTTCAATTTTCATTTTCAATTTTCATTTTCATTTTCAATTTCAATTTTCAATTTTCAATTTTCAATTTCATTTTCATTTTCAATTTTCAATTTTCAATTTTCAATTTTCATTTTCATTTTCATTTTCATTTTTTCATTTTCAGTTTTTCATTTTCATTTTTTAATTTTCAGTTTTTCATTTTCAATTTTCATTTTCAATTTCAATTTCACTTTCAATTTCAATTTAAATTTCATTTTCATTTTCATTTTCAATTTTCAATTTTCATTTTCAATTTCATTTTCATTTTCATTTTTAATTTCATTTTTCATTTTCATTTTCAATTTTCAATTTTCAATTTTCATTTTCAATTTTCATTTTCAATTTTCAATTTTCAATTTTCAATTTTCAATTTTCATTTTCAATTTCAATTTCAATTTCATTTTCAATTTCATTTTATATAATGAATGACTGTATTGATTAAGATTGTAATTACAGTTGAAACAAGGGAGATAATTATTGGTAAAGAAGAAGTCGGTTTAAGACGAGAAGCTGTTAGACTTTTAATTGATGCTGTTCTTAAACAAAATATTGTCAGTGAATTTATTCAAGTTCTGAGAATAACAAGTAAGTTGACTAAAAGTGGATGTCTGTACAGACAAAAGTACTGGGTATCGATTACCAAATTGAGATTGATTATCGACAGCATGCTACCAATCAATAATCAGAATAGTCAGAAATCTTCAAAATACTAGACAAAAAATTTGAATTGCATGGGTTACTTTTGGGTCATAGAAGTATTACTTTGATCTGTTATGATAGTTTATTGTGGGTAAGTTATGTGTTGAAGGGAAACTATGTGGAAGAAATTACTACTTGTTAACAGGTACAGGGGAGGAAATATAACGTTGACATTTTGTATTTCATCAATAATGGAAATTATAAATTCCAAGGGACGATAATCAATTAATTTGATTATTTTACCGAGTCCTAACAGACATTTTATTGCCTATTGTGAAAATCTAGATATTGTGCAAAAAGTTACTACACCAATATTTACCCTTTTGATTGACATCAAGAGAAATTGTTGACAAAATTAATCTGTGTACAAAATGAAACATGGTATTTATTTTTTTTAAGTTGGTGCACGAGTGGCCGCGCCAGAATTCCGAGTCTGGTGATACAAATAGGGGGCAGACTGACTCAATGGGGGGACAACTACTGAGGTTGAATTCAAATTTTGGCTACTCTGTGGTGGTGTCATAGTCGCAAGTCTCTCATAGAGTGTGTTAGAGGGTTCTCTCAAGAAAATTTTAGAAAAAACTTCATAAAGATGAAAGTACTTTAATCAAAACAAAACCAGAATATATATTTAGAATCAATT